GTTATGCTTGGTCAAAGTTTGGTTGACTTTTCTTGAGAAACCCTAATTTAACAACTTTTGAGTTTTTATGAATTAGGAGCATTCCTTGAGGAATCATGAACAACCCTTGATAAAATGATGAATATCACTTCAAAATGTTGATGTTGACCAAAAATATTGAAGTTTAACTGTATGTGGGCCACAATTGACTTTTGACCTAATACAATCGATTCTCAAGCATCTGAGCAGTTGATTGAGCAAACTTCTTGTGAAAGGCTTGAAATTTGACATGGAGGGTCTTGAGAACATATTAGGACCATGGAGAGAATATGAGGTCTTTTAAGTTCACCCATCTTGATGAAAATGGAAACCCTAATTGGGGGTTCATTGCTTTAGGAGGGAGTTTATCTGGTCAACTCTTGGGCATCCTTGAGCAAGTTGAGTATCTCAATGAACATATATTGAGTAAAGTGAGAGGGCAAATTTTGGGGTACAACAAATGTCCTGTTGCTTCCTTGTTCTGATTGCATAATCCGCTTCTGATTAACATCATACAACTTCAAGAGATTGTCCATCATAATAACTGAGAAACCTTTCTCAAAGAGCTGACCCACACTCATCAGACTGCTCTTAATTATAGGAACATACGAAACATACTTGATCATAACGGTCTTCCCATTCATCACTTTAACTTTGATATTTCTCATACCTTCTACATTAAGGTACTTATCATCAACACATCTAATTTTTGTCCTTCTTCTGGAGTCAAAATTTATCAACCATTGTTTGTTTCCAATCAAGTGATTCGAACAACCAGTGTCTATATACCACCAGTTTGTCAAACACTTTCCATCAGACTTAGAAGCCATCAATAGCACAAGTTCATCATCAGAATCTCCTCTGGCTATATTTGTTTCTTCTGATCTTTTTCCCTTATTTGACCAGTAATCTTTAGAAAAATGGCCAAATTGCTTACAACAATAACATTGAACCTTCTTCTTGTCAAACTTCTCTTTACCCTTCTGAGGTTTCTTCTCATCAGAAGTAGAAGTTTCTGACTTCTGAAATCTATCACCACATCTATTCTTGGTTTCTAGCGAAGAATGCTTCTGGCCCTTCTTGACAAAAGAAGCCTTCAGAGCCTGCTGAACTTCCCCCTCAGAAGTTCTTTCAGTCAGGCGCAACTCATGCGCCTCTAGACTGCTTTGCAACTCTTCTATTCTCAAGGTTTCTAGATCTTTAGAATATTTAATTGCTACAACAATGTAATCAAATTGAGGAATAAGTTACCTTAATATGTTCTCAATATTTACTTGTTCAGAAAGGGTTTATCCACAAGCCTTCATCTCATTAGTGATCAAAATCAGTCTCGAGATGTACTCAGAAACCTTCTCATTGTTCTTCATGTTGAGATTCTCATATTGCTTTCGGAGGGACTGGAACTTTACCTGCTTCATTGACGCGTCACCACCATAGCATCTGAGAAGTGTGTCCCAAGCTTCATTTTCCCTTGTCGAGTCAGCAATCTTCTCAAACACGTTCGCATTCACACACTGATGGATGTAGAACAACACCTTCTGATCTTTCTTTCTCTTGTCTCTCCGTTCATTTCTCTCTTCTTCCGTCACATCAGCTGCAACCAGAACATAGCCATTGGTAACAAGCTCAAGCGCATCTTGAGCACCAAATAGCATGCGCATCTGGATGATTCATTTGTTTCAGTTCGTGCCATCAAAAAGCAGGAAGGTTGGTACTCAGACTACTGTTTCGATTATCCTTAATCTTGTACAACTCACTCAGATCTCACAAGTACAGTATTTTCCAACCCCACAGAATCAGAAAAAAAAATGTGATTCTGTTCATATTATGTTCAAGATTCAACACGAACCCAGAACCAAAATGAATCACACAAACGCCTCACGTTTCACTCGTGTTTCTCTGTAGATTAGAATCGGAGTTCTAGATACCAATTTGTTAGTGCACAAGAATCAATGGTGAACAAAGAATAAATTTAAGAGAGCAAAGAAAATAACTGTTGTAAAGTTGCAAGAAGAATAAAAATGTTGTTGTATTTATGACATTTACAACTAGCATATTTATACACAAAAGAGAATGTCACGTATGCCCTAATAGAATAGACTTAATAACTAAATTATTTAAAACAATCAAAAATACTAAAATATCATTTAATAAAAATGATGTTAGGCTCAGTCAAAACTCAATAGAATTAGATAATTTGACATTTTACTTGTGCTTCTTGTTTATAGTGCTACTAAATAAAATAGTTATTAGCAAATAAAATAGTCGTGTTATAGGAAGATGACAAATGCATATATTAGTTCTGTTTTATTTTATTTCATATATTACACAATTAAACAAATGAAGAACATAAAATAATAGTCCATATTTACATGAATCATGTATCACTCTCTCTATGAAAGTGTCTTCCAATTAAACTAACATTCATTATAGCAGGATCAGCAGAAGCAAATGGATTTGGTGGCATACTTAACTTACCTCCATCTCCTTCCAACATATGAACAACAACTTGCATTGAAGGACGATCCACCGGGTGCCACTGAATACACCAAAGTCCCGCAATCGCAAGTTTCTTTGCTATTTTCGCGTATTTCTCCACCTCAATATGTTCACTCAAATCATCCCCTTGCTCTAACAAATTATAAATCCATTCCGGAAAATACCCTAAGCCACTTCTCTTGTCTACAACATCGACATTTTGTCTTCCCCCGACCATCTCAAGTAACAACATTCCAAAACTATACACATCAGACTTATACGACACGTTTCCGAAGTTTCTAGAAAAAACTTCTGGTGCTATGTAACCAATAGTCCCCCTAGCCGCGGTCATGGAAACCGCACTTTGATCCTTTGAACAAAGCTTAGCCAAACCAAAATCAGATATCTTAGGAGTCAAGTTATTGTCAAGTAAGATATTATGCGGCTTTATATCAAAATGAAGTATCCTTTGGTCACATCCTTGGTGAAGATACTCGATCCCTTTCGCTATTCCAAGCGCGATTTCTTGTAACTTCTCCCAACTCAAAAAATGGTTTCTGAAATCCGTCGTGGAGATATACTTCTGCAACGAACCATTTGGTAAATACTCGTAAACAAGCGCTCGCTTGTGTCCGTCCGCACAAAAGCCTACTAAGTGAACAACATTAACATGATGAATTTGACTCATTGTTCCTACTTCATTGATGAACTCAGGTCCATTTCCTGTCGAAGTTTTGAGAAGCTTGACCGCGACATATATATCGCTTGATAGTTTACCTTTGTACACCGTTCCGTATGCTCCTTGTCCAAGTTCGTTCTTGAAATTGTTTGTGATCCTTTTTATGTCTGAATAGGAATACCTTGTAGGTTTCAATGCTCTATAATCTTCTAAGAACTTTTCTATTCTTGCTTCATTTTCTTTGTCTTTTTGAGTTGTGTATCGAACATGATATAATGCTGTGACTAGTAGTAAAATTCCAAGACAAGATAGTATCGGTACTGCACAAATCATAGTAAAGAATTAATCAAAACCTCCAACATATTTTACACTGTCAATCAAATACAACTGTCCTATCATAAAAAAATATTGTAATTTGCCAACGGTATAAAAAGTAACATGATTTATGAGTAATTGTTACCTAGAATTTCCATTTTTCTCCTTGCTCCTGTAAAAAAATATCAACAACATTTTAATATTGAATTGGTTTCTTATTATAACTATTTCTATAAGATGTTTTCACTTTGAAATAGGCCAAATTATAGAACAAAATACCTTTAGATTTGTTGACAGTGTTGTAACATTCTTGTTTTGTTTCACTATGATTGCCACAACTTGTATCCCATCCTAAAACAAAACCATCACCATGGCTTAAAACAACATCTTCTGGAACAAAATCCATGTCATACAACTTGGTACAATATGTCAAAGGAACATCCTTAATTTGAAGTGTGGAGTCCAATGCATAAACTTGGTATCCATGGGAAGAAAGACATTTAATGGAAGAATAATAAGATTGTAAAGCAGTGTTCATGGATGAACAATTGAAGAGTGTATAATTGGAATTTGGATTGGAGTTGTCAATGAAATGAAAAGGAATGGATGATAGATTGAGTTTTGAAAGGAGTTTTGGAAGACATCCATTTGGGTTAGTCACATGAATATGTTGGGACTTGTAATCAATTTTGTTTACAATGAAATTGATTGAAGTTGGCAATTTTAGTATGGTTTGGTGATTTTCATTGCATGAAAGATCAAACCCAGGTTTTCCACAATTTTGTGGTTGAATGTTTTGGAGTCTAAAAGGGTATTGAATAGTGGGAGCATCTTTGTGGTGACACCTTGTTTTTATGCATTCAGTATTGGCTGAAGCAAGGTTAGTGTAGTAATTTTCACTCAAAATGAAGCAAAAGAATGGAAGAACTAGTGTAGAGTAATTGCTCCACATTGTGTTCTATAATTGAGTTTTAGCTATGCATTCATTATGTAGGTTAGATTTGTGTATATGAAATTCAAAGGCCTAGGATAGAAACGTGTTCTCTCTTTTTTTTTATCTATTGATATTATAATAATGTTAATGAATTGTTTTTTGAATGTCAACCATATATTTTTTAGGGAATAATGTCAACCTCCTTAATTAACATTCTGTGTACATAACATACCTCACTGACTATGAAAGTAAGACTTTAATATTCATGTCATAAAATAGTATATAGGAAACTAAAGTCAAGGTGGAGAGGTTGTTTAAGGTGTTTTACAAAGTTTAATCAAAGTCAACACTTTTTGTTACACCTATTATCCCCGAAAGCATGCTTGCTCACGTATGAATTTGATGTACAAGTTATAAAAACTAAACTATGAAATTAAGAAACTTCTACACCAATCAAAACTCAAAGTTCAGAGAATCATTGAGTTTAGCATATTCGCATAATGGCATCAATTTTTGTCAATGATGTCTTAACTTTATGTTTATATCACATCTTTTCACATCTTCTCCTTTTCAATCATGTCTTGGAAAATGCTTGTGAACCTAACTGTTATAATAATGCTCCTATGGCAATACCCTCTTCCTTGCCTAACAGAAACAAATCACCAATGTCTCCTTTCATCTTGCGGCGATATACGAAACATCACCTACCCTTTTCGTCTACAAGGCGAACCCGAAAACTGTGGTGATCCAAACTATGAAATTTCCTGTGAGAACAATCAAACAATACTAAATCTAGACAATGGAAAATACTTTGTAGAAGCCATCAACTACAATAATTCCACAATAAGGATAACAGATTCAGGTGTCAACAAGCACAATTGCTCTTCCATTCCTCTCTACACTTTAACAAATGAAAGTTTCACTACCGGAAAACCTTATAGCTTGTTAAATAAGAATAATAACTTAGCAACCTTAGCGTTTATAACATGTGCAGGCTCGGTTGTTTCTCCTATTTACATGGATACTTCATCTTGTATGAAAGGACTGATCAACTCTTCCAACTATGCTGTTTTTGGTGACTTGAAAATCTCTGAGCTGGAAGATTCATGCAGCATACTTGTTATGGTCATGCTTTCAAATTTGCACAAACATGATAACAATGATAACAACCTTTCATATGTGAAAATCCATCAGCAACTTGTTTATGGTTTGGAGCTTTCTTGGAGTGAGATATTCTGCAAAGAATGTCAAGGTAGGGGATACTGTAAATTGAACAACAAAAATGAGGTCATTGGTTGTTCAAGAGGTAGACCTTGTAGTCGTAACGATATATCCTCTTTTAAATGTAAGTATAGTATATCTTTTCTTCTCTAACTATACATACTTTGTGTAAATCTTAGAATTCGAGTTGAAACTAATTCGACCCGAAAGCAAAATAACAATCTGTTGAAATATTTTGGACCTCCACAGGTGCTTTAAAAGTGATAATCCATGCAGCCAAAGATGTTGTGACCGAAGGTCCTCATGAAATAGGCGGTATCATCGGTACGATTTTTAAAATAGTAGTTAAATTATGCAGAGTTCATAGTTAATCTAGAATAGAATATGTTTTGGTTAGAGGGATCTTGTTAATGTATATGTTTTTACTTTTTCAATGCAGGAATAATTCTTGTTATAAGAATCATAGGAGGAATACTATTTATTCCAATGTACATGATATATAAATGGAGAAGGAGGCATTTATCCGCGTACGACTCGGTTGAGGAATTTCTCAAAACTCACAACAATCTCATGCCAATAAGATACTCTTACTCAGACATTAAGAAAATGACAAAAGGATTCAAGGATAAACTCGGTGAAGGTGGCTATGGTTCTGTTTACAAAGGACAGCTTCGCAATGGTCACCTGGTAGCAATCAAGATGCTAGGAGGAAAATCGAGAGCAAATGGACAAGAGTTCATCAATGAAGTTGCTACCATTGGAACAATCCACCATGTTAATGTAGTTCACCTAATTGGTTTTTGTGTTGAAAAATCAAAAAGAGCACTTGTTTATGAGTTCATGCCGAATGGTTCTCTTGAAAAACACATTTTTTCGAGAGAACGAATGGGTTCTTTGAGTTGTGAGAAAATGTTTGATATAGCGCTTGGTGTAGCGCGTGGAATTGAATATCTACATAGAGGTTGTGACATGAGGATTTTACATTTTGATATAAAGCCTCATAACATTCTTCTTGATACGAATTTTACCCCAAAGGTTTCGGATTTTGGACTAGCAAAGCTATATCCAATTGACAATAGCATTGTGTCGCTTACCGCAGCAAGAGGAACAATGGGATACATGGCGCCAGAGTTGTTCTATAAGAACATTGGAGGAGTGTCATATAAAGCAGATGTTTATAGCTTTGGAATGTTGTTAATGGAAATGGTGAGTAGGAGAAAGAACATGAACGAGGGTGAAGATCGTAAGAGTCAGGTTTATTTCCCATCTTGGATTTACGACCAATTTAGCGAAGGGAATGAAATAGAAATGGGGAATGGTACAGAAGAGGAGGAGAGGATATCAAAGAAGATGATAATAGTTGCGTTATGGTGTATACAAATGAAACCTAGTGATCGTCCTTCGATGAACAAAGTAGTCGAGTTGCTAGAAGGAGATGCCGAGGCCTTAGAAATGCCTCCTAAGCCATTTCAAACTCCGAAAGGAATGCCTGGACAAGGCATTGGACAATTCAGAAATCTACCTTGGTTACTACCTGGGGAATCTACAAATTCACTTACCATTGTTATCAATAGACGTTGAGCTATATACAACATGTTTGGAAACACACGTTTAGATATAATAATATGTTTTTGTCTGCATTTATAGCGTTAATGTTCTTCCCTATTCTTGATTTATTATTATGTAACAAGATGTATGAATTCCTTGTGTTTAAGTTGCTGAGAGTCCTAAATTGTATTTAGAGTGGGAGAAAAAAGTTGAACATTGAAATTTGAACATTGAAGGTGTTACATCTCCTAATGCATTCCACAAACACAGAGCCTGTGCAAATATTTTTCAACCACGACAACATTCTCATTTCTCATTACTTCTATTCTACCATGCACTCGAGAATATAAGTCTATTTGGATAAGTCGAGCTCTAGCACCGTTATGAAAAAGGACAGAAACTCATATGTCTCTAGAGAAAACGATTTTGATAAGATAAAGGATGAACATAGTCATGTCGTGCTATCTAGATGAGTAACTCAGTAAATCCATAACCTTATTCCTATAGTACATTAGTACCTTGATAAATCACATATGAACAATGAAAATATCTTTTATCATATTTTCTGTGACTGCAAAATGAGTTGTTGTTAAGTATTTTGGAGGACCTCATATACTGATAAGCAGTTTGTAGGATCTAATTTACGGTTAAACATGGCCTCTTAAAAAAATCCATGGCTCAACTGAAACTATCTTCAGTTTCTTATATAGAGTCTCTCAAAATTTTGAGATGTCCTAATCTAATCTATTATCTATTTATTATAATATATTAAATCTAAAATAATAGATTGTATCGCCATATAACTCTTTTTTTTGTCAGGTTGATTAGAATCATGTGTCACTCTTAAAATTGAATCTAACAATAAATTTGCATAATTATTCTTCATAACTTAAACTTCTATTTTAAAACACATATATTACAATAATTTACTATTATCAATCCTCACAAAATTACTCATGAATAAATACAATTCTCATCCCTTGCATTCTTAATTTAATTTTAATAATTTTTTCCTTATCTTTCAATTATATCATTTAAGATTTTCATATTTATATATACTCTAATGTATAACTTATACTTTTTTTATAGTTTAATATCTTTAAAAAATTAATAATACTATTTTATTAAATCATAAGACTAACATAAATATAAATTGATGTCACCATTCAAAAATAAAATAAAATATATGATGGTTAGCAAAAAATTATAATGAAAAAGTATTTAAAAAATTTATAAACTTACTAATGACAATGAAAGTATTTTAAGTTATATACTATAAACAATACTAATAAACCGTAAATTTAAGGGAGAAAACTATAAACTATTTATAATTATAAGGACTTATGATCTACTTAAACCTCCTCAATTATATGTATTATCCATATTAATTATAATAAAAAATATATTTTATATTAAAAAATACATTAATATCAGATAATTAATTCACTTTAGTATGAGATAAATATAATTGAAAGGTAACAAAATAAATTTTAAATTATTTCGTAAAAATAAATAAATATAAGAATAATATAAAATTTAATAATATCAATAATAAATATCTTAAGTTTATCACTATTAACATTGTCAATATATATATATATATATATATATATATATATATATATATATATATATATATATATATATATATATATATATATATATATATATATATATATATATATATATATATATATATATATATATATATATATATATATATATATATATATATATATATATATATATATAATTATATATATTTCTAATAATAAATATAAAATATAAAATTTCATCGTAATATAATCACATATCTTTAATATGATTACAATAGAGTTAAATTTATAAAATTTTGTATAAATACTTTCATTTTTTAATTTAAATTTCTTCCAAAATATATGTAATATATATCATGTTTTTATATATATGAAATTAAATAAAAATTTAAAAGTCCGTTATATTTCTTCATTATAATTATACAATTTAAAACTATTTCGTCTATTTATTATTTAGTTTCATACCATAAATTTATATTATTAACTATACATATAAAATTTAAGAATTAAGTGTTTTTTTGTATAATATCATCTCATATATAATATTTTAACATGTGTACTAATCAGTGGTTTTTATACCTTTGTTTACCTTTAATTCTAGTTAATTGTGTCATTGTTTTTAAGTGTTTTATTTCCCTTTCTGTATTTTATGCTTTGGTTGTGTCTCTTTAATATTTTTAGGTTCAGATAAGCATTCAAGAAGAATCGGAGCGAAAACTAAGAAAAATTACAATAATTCAAAAAAGTTTTTTGCACACTCCAGGAGGTCTGACACGGCCGTCCGTGTCAGTTGACACTGGCCATGTCAGACAAGCAACAAAGGCAAAGCAAAAATTAGAGGTCTGACACGGGGGGCCGTGTCAACTGACATTGCCCATGTCAGGAGCCTGGGGTCTAACACTGCCTATGTCAGGATGTCTGAGACAAAAACATTAAAGAGACACTCGTATAAAGGAACTAAACAATCTTTAAAAGAGATGAATATCCTCTCCTACGGATCTACTGGGAGAGTCAACAAATCAGAAGGGTTTCCAACTGTAATGTTATCTTTTGTTATAACCTCGATAATACTCAAGACGAAAGGAGTCCCAACCACTTCGGTGGCCACCTAGTGGTATTTATTTGCATTAATCGGCTCAATTATCTGAATCTCATGCGGACCAATTCATCAGATTTATAATGATCAGCAGGTTTAATAGAAGACACAATATTAGATTGTCCCTTACATTCCAAATAACACACGGTTTCAACATCATTGGGCTCATGACCACTTGTTTGCATATATTGGTGGATAAAGCTACCGACGCATTCCCTCTTTAACTGGAAACTTCTATTTTTGCCTCAGTAAAGACAGAGGAAGACACTAGCTTCTCAATAAGATATTCATCCCTATAATATTTCTCTAAAGGCAGAGCCTCTAAAGAATCCCTAAAAAGAGCTTCGCCTAAAAGAGACCCTTTGGGCATTCCTTCCATTTTCGAATCATCAATCAATGGGATAATTTTTTATTTAAAATTACCACTGACAGAAGAAAAGAAATGTGATTCAGAATCTATTTCCCTTCTCGAAGAAGAAGAAGAAGAAGAAGAAGAAGAAGAAGAAGAAGGGGAAGAAGAGGAAGAGGAAGAAGAAGAAACACTGCCCTCTGAATCACTCTCAATAATAATAGGGTTATCGTTCATCGTAATGAAAAAATACATTAAATGCTTGAATGAAAAGCTGAAGTGAAGAAAGGGTATATTAAAATGTAAGGTTGAAGGTGATAAAGCAAGAAGTAGGCTGAAAAGTCAAAGCTTTGAGGCTTTGAATGGGTGACAACAATTACTCCTCTAAAAACGCTCTCAGAGAATAGGCAGATACTCAAGGGAAACAAAAGAAACTCAGTTTACCATTTTGCAAAAAAGTTTCACTACATTTCCCTTATCCTTATGTAGACAAAGAAAATCAGACAAATCAGATTGAAAGTAAGAAGTAAGTGTGGATCAATAGTCAGATTTCATCTGGAGAACTCAACCACAATCAAGCGTATTCAAGTGCCTAGTAAGTTGCATCACATCACTCTATATCTTTCAGGTCATACGATATATAAAAACGACGAAAGGTTTCAATAATGAGATGACATTTAATGCTCACGTTCCCTGTTACATTTTGGCAAAACCAAAGTAGCAGATGCCAGTAGACGTCTGGATAGCCATTTTTGAAGGACGACCACGACTGCTAAAAGACTCCCCTGACATCTGGAATGCCCGACAAGTCTTGGGGAAAATTGTTCTATGTCATCCAAAGCCCAAATAACTTGAGGCCCGCTTATTCAGCATGATCTATTGAGCCCAAGATATAAATACCTTTCCGAAAAATTTTCAAGTACACAATATCTAATATCCATTTTCACTACAACTACCTTAAATCCTAAATTGATTTGGATGTTGAAGTGTTAATCATGCAGATATCTATTTTAATCTGACGTATAAAAAATTAACAACGCTGATTCAAAATCAATATTTTCGATTAAAAAACATTATAATCACAACTTTTTATTCATAATGTCTCAAAACTATAGTGCTCAAGAAACTTTGTTCTTAACGTAATTTCTACTATCTTCTTTATTTCTGATTACGCATCAGAAATACCATATAGAAAGTAAAAGTACTATTAACTTCTTATCTTTTTCCTAAAAATTTTAAAGGACTCATGTGCACTTACTTCCATCAATTCTGTTCTTTTAGAATCGTTGGATATTATATGATAACGACAAATAAGAAGATAAAATTGATGATAAATTGTGGTGAAGTAGCTGCCTCTATTTCACAAATCAGTCCATCTAAATAATCGTGAAATCAAATACACAAAAAATCTTATTGAGAACAAGTCTCATCTCGATATATATAAATAATAAATTAAATTTAGTGAATAGACACATATTAATAATCCGTTTTTATATATTGAATTAAAATGTCATTATCATTTATTTTTAGTCTATATTATAAAAATGAAACATTAACGTGAACCTAAAATCAATATAGGTGGCCACGGAGCATTTATTATGGCCTCTTAACAAGTCTTTGATAAAGTCTTTGATATTGACACAAAATCAAAAGTCTTTTATATAGACAGACACAAATGTGTTTGACACTAAACGCAAACATGCCACCTCTTACTATGTCTTTAACCTCTAATGATTAGTCGTATGAAAAATATTTTTATTTTATTTTTAATTCTTGTAGTTTTATTTTAGATCTTGGGAAATTGTTTTATATTAAAATTGATGTTTGTATTATATAATTTTTATTTTAAATATACTAAACTAAATAAACATTCAATTATGAGTTATTCCATCAAAATTATAAACATTGAAAATACATTTTATTATTATATAAATATTTTTATCTCGCTTATATCTTTATATAATATTGACTTGTTATTTTATTGGTTAAATTAAAGTAAACATTTTAAACTTTTAATTTCATTATTTTCTAT